CGCGACATTCCAACCTGACATGTGGAAGAAGGTGAGAAAGTTGTCGATACCCACCCATTTCAATTTTATTCATGAGGGTATTACAACTATTTAAAAACAATCTTGATAAATTAATTTTAAATCTACAATAATATTAGATATTAAGAACTAGGCAGAAAATACTAAGAAAAATAGCGTATATTCAATCTTAGTTTAAATTTACTTTTAGTTGAACATACCTTATCTTGGAAACACATATAGTCACTACAAGAAAACACACCTTTGGCGACTAAATTTTTAGTCGCCAAAAGTCCTTTTTTAGTCGTCAAAAATCGAATTTTCACTTTCCCCGACTAAATATTTTCGCCGCCGGTTTTGTCGCGAATACACGGTCGCCAATACCTTTGGTGACTAAAAAAGTTTTAGTCGGCAATATACATGTCTTCAGCGACCAAAAAATTTGTCGCCAATAGTCAATTCCATTTTTGGAAATTATACATTTAGCGAAGAGTGAAATTTTTTTTTTATTTATACATTTGCCGATTATTTTTTTCGTCGCCAATAGTCAATCTTTTGGCGACCACAGAGTTTAGTCGCCAAAAGCATATTTGAAATGAAAAAAAAAAAAAATTACCTTCTGTTCGAACCTGAGACCTCCAAGTTCCAAAGCTTTACAACACACTCCCCCCCCCACCATGCCACTAAACCATCACATGAATGTAATTACAACATATATTATTTATATATTACTTTGATCGGTATTAATACAAAACTATATATATAAATATAATTATATATATTCAATATAATTTATGTAAAAAATAATTTATTTAGTAAAAAAAAATTTAGATCACTTTTGGCGACTAAATCCATTATTTAGTCGCCAATTCTATAATTTTGGGCTACTAATTAATTTTCCGTCGCTAAAGAAATATGTTCCGCCTAAAAACTACCCCTTTTGGCGACTAAACCTATTTTAAGTCGCCAAAAACGTCCCCTTTTGGCTACTAAAATGAAATTTAGTCGCCAATTGACAGTTTTTAGCTACTAATTTTATTTTAGTAGCCAAAAAGCTTGACTTTCAGCGACCAAACTGTTTTTAGTCGGCACAACACATAGAATCGGCGACCAAGCTATTTTTTAGTCGCCAAAAGCTATACTTTTGGCTACTAAATGTTTTTAGTCGCCAAAAACCTTAACCTTTGGCTACTAAAATTTTTTTAGTCTCTAAAACCCCTATATTCCGTGACTAAACTGACTTTTAGTCGCTAAAACCCTTATATTTGGCGACTAAAGTCTTTTAGTCGGCAAAAGTGACTAAAGTCTTTTAGTCGGCAAAAGTGACCAATTTTGGCAACTAATTCCGTTTTAGTCGCCAATTCTACTACTTTCAGCGACGAAAAATCCAGTTTTAGTCGCCAAATCTGCTTTTTGTTGTAGTGAGTAGTGACTAATATATTTTTGGTAACTTTTCAATGAGCAGGCTCCGCGAAGACAATGCTGTGAGACCGTCAATAGTACCATAGATGGGGTGGACGGTGTCGTACATGTTAGGGTTAGAGGATGCAATCGGTGGGAAACAGTAACACCACCATAGATGATGGATGCCGATATAATATTAGAACCACATATATGTTACATGCACAAAAAAAAAATTCACAAAATAAGACGCAAATGTGTCTCAAAAAATACACCACATCAGCATGTTTGGTATTGTAAGAATCGGATGTGAATTGCATGAGAGAAACACTTAAACATGTTGTCTGTTTTGTGTTGATGCACAATTATATGTGCAAGCTATTCCATTTCTATCTCCATGATGCAGCATACTAGTCTGTTTCTCTGTTCTTTTTGGTTTTTTCCTCTTAGCTATTATTAACATTTTCATTAGAGCAAATTGCACTTTACCCTCTCAATTATTACTATTGTTCACTTTATTCCCTCAAATTAAAAATTAATGTGTGTGTTTGGTTTGAGTTTTTTTAGATTAAATTTTTTTAAAACTGAGTTTTTTATTTTTCATATTTTTTTTGTTTTTAGTGAATATTTTTAAAATTTTAAGCATTTTTTTTTACTTTTTTAAATACACCTTACTTAGATGTATCTAAAAAATTTTAAAAATTATGAAAAAATATTTTTAAAAATTAATAAATACATAAAAATAAGAAAAATATATTGAATTCTTGTTTTTTTTTTATATATTTTTGGTATTTAGTGAATTTTTAAAAGATTTTTTCACAAAAATTATACTTTTTATGTGTATTTATGTTAGGCATGTCTAAAAAAAATTTAAAAAAAAAAGAATTGCTTAAAATATTTAAAAAATTTAGTAAAAACAAAAAAAAACACGAAAAACAAGAAAGTAAAATTTTCTAAAAAGTGTTTTTGAAAAACTAAAAACAAGCAAAGTATAGAATGTATCCATTCATCTTCTGAAAGTTTTTAATCTAATTCTTATATCTCCATTATGTTAACATAACAGACAAAAAAGGTACATGAAATGTGCTCATGTCATATAATCATTTTTATGACAGATTTTTAAAATGGATTTTCATCATAAGTATAACATATACACATTGCATGCATCTTTTCCATCTGCTTTGTTAACAAAATGGAGACATAAGGGTTAGATTAAAAATTTTCAGAAGATGAAGGGATACATTGTATCAATTTTTAGTTTGAAGGGATAAAGTGAAAAATAGGAATGGTTGACGGGGGTAAAATGTAATTTTCCCTTTTCATTGTTTATTAGAATTGTGGGTAATTCTATTTCCACACATTACTTCCTCTCTTTTCACACACTTAATGATTTTTTTTTATTACATTTTTGTCTTAAAATTAAATTACCAAAATATCCCTTTTTCAAAACTCTAACTCTAACTCTCTCAAACCATCAGTTTCCACCATCACCAACCATGGTCGCCGCCTCTCCTCTCCTTCACTCTTCTCGTTGCTTCTTCCTTACCACTACAACCCTCTTTGCCTGAGAAAAAGATCGGCGCACCACTGCGATCTCCCTCCACCTTCAAGTTTTGATGTACCACTGAGCTCTTCGATCATCAACAATGACGACTTCTCATGCATCAGATTCAATATAATGTAGGGCTGGTTCTTCCGAAAAGCACGCTCAGTCAAGTTGTGTAAATACTTCTGCTATCAAAAACATGAACTCATATCATCACTGTCCAACTCTTACTTACAACTAGACAAACTCTTGATTTCCTCATCCAAGCAATCAAATCCTTTTCTATAAACTTGTACTCCCTGCATGCACAATTTTACAGGTATCATTGATAGGCAGATTAAATGATTTTCAAGAATCTTTGATCCTCTATGATACACGATAACACAGTGTGTCACATAGCCACAAATTGAATACCTTCCATCCCAACCAACCAACCCAGATGGTAAATTAGTCTTTAAAAATGCTTAATAGCATGTATAAATTTCTAGTTTCAACACGATCTATCACATTGTTAAACATATTGAATTACTACAAAAATGAAATTGTTAAACATATGGAGGTTGTGGAAGTGGCGCCGGTAGGTGGAGGGAGGCGTAGGGGTAACGACTGGAAGTGAAAGGGAGGGAAGGGGTGTCGTCGTGCCACCGGCAGCAGCAGCAACAGTGGTGGTGGCTTGTTATGGTTAGGGTTTGGAGGATGAAGATTGTAAGGGTATTTTTGGTATAATATGATGTGTATTGAGTGAAAGTTGATAATTTAAATTTATTTAGTATGTGTGTTGAGAAAAGATGTGGAAAGAGAGGAACTAGTGTGTGAAAATAGAATTTCTCTAGAATTGTTTAACCAATTATAAATTTCGTTTTCAATATCAATTGAACAAGATCAAGATATGTGCAACTATAAATTTTATAGGCTCTTGATATGTGCAACTATCAATTTATAATTTAAAAACTTCTTCATAATTAGGCTCTTGATGATGTGGCTTGGGTGATGAGGTAAGAGATACACCTAGATTTGAGCTTCTCTTCGGGCCAGCCGTTTTGGGCTACCAAGAATTATGCTTTAACTTATGTGCAGGCAGCAAGTTTCAACCTTCAACAATTATGTGTCCCAAATAAAAAAATTAGATCGTCAAACTTTGTTACCAAGAATTATACTTTAACCTAATGTGTAGGCAGCAAGTTTCGACCTTCAACAATATCAAACAACAATTCTGTGTGTCCCAAATATAAAAATTAGATAGTCAAACTTTGTTAATTTCAAATTGGTAATGAAAATTGTAGTAATAGGTGGTTGTGTAGTGCACAAGTCAATTTGGAATTAGAAGAGTGGAATTGCTGCAAAAAGTAAATGAAACCAGATAAACTAAAGACTGTAAGGTCTTCATGACTAATTTTTAAAATAAATGATTAGGAAATTGGCCTGCTTGCCAATTTTTTTAGTCCAACTTGCATATTTTTTAATTTAGTCCTATTTTTTTAGAAATGTATGGTTTTCATGGCTAATTTTTTAAAATTACCAATCAGAAAATAAATAAAAAAAAAAAAAATTAGTAGTTGAACTGACCTTATTGACTGTGCATTGACTCGTGAATCAGTTGTAAATTTTATTACTAGTGGATTTTGTTTCCTCATGTGAATGTGTGTTGGAACTAAATCGGCTATGAATGGGCACGTATCGAGAACAACCCAATACATATGAGATTTTCATTCTAATCAATATTTCGGGATGTATCATTTATTTTAAACTAGGCATAATAGTATTTTCAAATAGGAGGAGACATGATCCCTTTTTTTTTGTAATCTGGGAAAAAAAAAAAAAAAACAGAGGTTGTGAGATCATCATTATGTGAGTGACGCACTGGAAGGTTGGATTCACAAAATGAAGACAAATGACTAGTAAATTAGGCTGCAAGTAAGACATGATCATTTGAAGATTCATGGAAAGTAGGACTGACAGTTTCACATTTGTGGTTGGTTCTGTGTTGGTAGACTTATTTAAAACTGCTGTTACCATCTTCTTCACCAGAAAATTCACTTCTTAGCCTTACCCAATAATGGATTCACAAAATCTCAATCTGATTCTTCTCACTCTCATTTTCTTTCCATTGTTATCTCACTCACAAATCACAACCAATCTCAACAACAACCACACTGATCAACTTTCTCTTCTTGCTTTCAAATCCTACATTACTCATGACCCATTAGGAATACTTCAATCCTGGAATTTCAGTACCAATTTCTGCAACTGGAAAGGTGTCACCTGCAACACCACCAAGCAGAGAGTCACCACTTTGATTCTCGAAAACCATGGCCTCGTCGGCCCCATTGCTCCTCACATTTCCAATCTCTCCTTACTTACACATCTCAACCTTCAAAACAACAGCTTTTTCGCAACCCTTCCGCGCAATCTTGGAAATCTTTTTCGTTTAAAATTTCTCATCTTGGGTTCTAATCAATTGCAGGGAACGATTCCAACATCGCTAAGTTTCTGTCTTAGACTCGTTTACATTGACCTGTCGAGGAACAAACTTTAAGGAACCATCCCACCATAACTAGGCTCACTTTCCGCGCTTCAAGTCATAACCCTGATGGACAATTTGCTCACCGGTGAAATTCCATCATCATTCGGAAACCTGTCTTCTCTTACAAACCTCATTCTGTTGACAAACAGCTTATGAGGACCAATACCAGACAGATTGGGAGAACTCCCCAATCTACTCAATCTGCAGATTGGTTTGAACAATTTTGTAGGCGAAATTCCAAGTTCATTGCTCAATAGTTCTTCGCTGATCGTATTAGGCCTGGCGGGAAACAATCTTTCGGGTAATCTTCCCTCAGATATGCTCTTAAAACTAACCAACTTAACTACCCTTTACTTGGGTGGGAACCAATTTTCCGGGTCTATACTAGGTTCTATAGCCAATGCTTCGCGACTTGTCCGCGTTGATTTTTCTAATAACAACTTCACTGGACACATTCCTTCAATGGGAAATCTACCAAGTATCCAAGTTCTGAATCTCGAAATCAATGAGCTTGTAAGCGGTGGGGAGCGTGGTATGGATTTCATCACTTCCTTGGCAAATTCAACCCAACTTCAAGTCTTTTCCATGGCGACAAATCGCCTCACTGGTAGGCTTCCTCTGTCAATAGGAAACCTCTCACGACAACTTTCTTTGTTGGTTATGGGAGAGAATCATCTAGAAGGAAATTTACCCGGAGAAATCAGTAATTTGGTTGGCCTGACCATGTTGTCTGTTGAGTACAATTCCTTCACTGGAATCATTCCACCTTCAATAGGAACCTTGCCCAACTTACAAAACCTTTACTTTCATAGAAACCAATTTTCCGGGAAAATACCAGAGTCATTCAGGAACTTAACTGAGTTGTATGAAATGGGCTTGAAAAGCAACCTTTTAACCGGTACTATACCTCCAAGCCTAGAAAACTATCAGCATCTTCAGATCTTAGACCTGTCAGTTAACATGCTTTCGGGTACAATACCCAGAGAGATTTTTAGCATACCAAGCTTTGGAAAGCTTCTGAATCTATCTTGGAATAGGTTAAATGGCTCACTTCCTGAAGAAATAGGTAATCTAAAGATGATTCAAGCAATTGATGTCTCCAATAACCCGTTAACAGGAGACATTCTGGTCTCAATTGGGGATTGCTCGAGTCTTTTGTATCTGAACTTGTCTCGAAACTCTTTTCAAGGACCAATTCCAAAATCTCTCTCCGAATTGAATGGGATCGAGTATATTGACCTTGCGAAAAACAATCTCACTGGTGAAATCCTAGCCTCCTTGGAAAGGCTTCAGTTTCTTCAACTTTTAGACCTGTCCGAGAACCAACTACAAGGAAATATTCCAACAGGCAGGATATTTAACAATGCGACAGCAGTTTCTCTTGATGGAAATCCACAGCTCTGTGGTGGATTGTTGCAATTTAAATTACCATTTTGCCCTGTAACACTGACTAAAAAACACTCGGGGGTGTCAAAAGTGAAATTGACAGTAGGTCTTGTGGTGGGCTTTGTTGGAATTTTAACACTCTCCATAGTAATTTTACTGTTTGCGCGAAAGAGAAAGGCGGAGACACATGCAGTTGTTGATGACGATGTTCCAATTGGGGTTCTGTTGACACTAAAAAAATTGTGTATTCTCCATCGATTGTATGTAACAAATGTAGGGAATTGATCCAGGGGATGCTAGGTTTAAAGACCACAAGTTTCCACAAGTTTACAAGTAAAGAGCGAATGAATATGAAGCCTAGAATACAGAGCAAGTAACAAAAAGGCAATAGTCAAAGAGACAGACATGGCAGTTGTAGTTTTCCTGTCGATTCGTCCAGTAATGAAGGGGAATGTGGCCAAACATGGCCCAGGCGTCAAGCCATAAAGTTAGCATGCAAGGTATACATGATACGTGTCATGTTTCCTAGAAGGGGAAAAGCTGCAACAGAGAAGTAGTTGCTGGCAGTTACAGAGATCATGGGCATTGCAACGGAGGTAGTTGGCTATATGATGGGACACGTGGCAGTAGAACAGCTGTGGAGTTTGAAGACCAACAATATAAAAGCTGGGAATTCGAAGTTAAAAACGCTTCAAACATATTTACAACCCTTATAGCATTAGGAGTAACTTAACTTAGTTAGTTCTTACTTAGGAGTAGTCTATCTATAGTTCAGTTTCTATAACTAAGAATTCCCTGTCGATTGTCATGTATATTGAACTGGAAGTTTAATTTTACTAATTAAATTTCAAGTTTGTTTGTTCAACAATTGATTTTCAGTTTATTTCTTCTTGTTTCTTCACATTACAGCCTCCAAAGAAGTCCTTGAATCTGTCAAGGCATAGAACGTTCAGGCCACAATTGCTTGATTTTTTGTTGTTTGTAAGGGTTTGGCTACTCTGTCAAATCACCCCTGTCGATTTGGCCCAGACCAGATTTTTTGCTAACATATTTTGGCACCCCCGGTAGGACCTGTCTAATTTGGAATAATGACTAGGAAGAAACAACATGAAGTCTTTGAAGATCCTGAGAAACGGGTCGAAGATGAGGAAGAGTTGAACGATGGAGTTGAAGGAGTACAAGACAACTTAACTGATGGCCATTCAGTGGCCAAGCAAGAAATAGGTCAAGGAAATGGCCAAAATATGGCCAGAACTGGCCAATCCAGTTGTCTACCAGTCAATTCAAGAAGGGCTCTTTTGCTGCATACCCAGTAAGCAATTGGTTCCATGTCAGCATATGAGAACCAAGTGATGATTGATGAACTGAGAAAGCCAACATCAAGCCCAGTCAATTAAGAAATATTGGAGAGGAACCACAAGGGAAAAGAGCACAACCTAAGCCCCAAATGGACCCTCAACAGCATTAAAAAGTAAGTGAACCCGTATCATTTTATAGACCTCCTACACTCCAAGAAAGATATGAGAAGGGAATGAACATAAATCCAATTTTTGAGAGAGATCTTTCCACATATCATAAAAACCCAGTGTTTAATTACAATGTAAATAATATGAGAATAAGACCTGGGGGGCAACTAAGGCCACGAATGTATGATAATCTTGCATTTGAAGGGTCTGGTTATCAGGCTATGACAGAACAGAGAAATAGGCCATTTAATCAAGTAAAGTCTCAAGATGCAAAGGATTATACCATGCCTCAACCATATTTTGAACCCTACATGATACATCCAAGGCCTAGAGGATCTGGTCCTCCTAATCCTTACTTCCAACCGGAGGTTGAAGGAGGAGGGCAGCAACAGCAATACTTAGAACCTCAAGTCAACAGACAACAAATAATGAACATTATACAGGAAATGTATGGTCCAGGCTTGAGAAGGATAGATAGACCAATGTTTAGGAGTCCTTACCCTCCATGGCTGGAAACAATTCCCATTCCAAGGAATTACAGAATTCCTGAGTTTACTTTATTCATAGGGGAGGAAATACAATCAACCATAGAACATGTGGGTAGATTCATACTCCAGTGTGGAGAACCTGGTTATGATGATAATTTAAAGTTAAAGCTCTTTCTTCATTCTTTGTCGAAAGTGGCATTTACTTGGTTTATTAACTTGCCAGAGAACTCTGTTCACACTTGGCAAGACATGAAAAATCAGTTTCATGCTCAGTTCTTTAGAACTGAACCTGAAGTGACAATGGTGGACTTGTCAAAATTTAAACAAAGACAAGGAGAAAGTGCAGAACAATACATCGACAGGTTTAAAAAAGCAAAAAAAAATGCTGTCATTCATACATGCTTGAAATAGAAATAATAAGATTAGCCCAAAATGGTTTAGATTTTGAGCTTAGGAAAAAATTTAAAGGCATGATGTTTAGGGATTTATTCGAGTTGTCTTCAAGGGCAACTAGTTATGAGGCCATTCTCAGAGAAGAACAACATAGAAATGCAACTTCATTGGGCACTTATTATCAAGAAGTCGAATTTGACATGGAAGCTGACATAGATGTTACCCAAGTAATAGGTAAAAAACCTGTGGTTTGTGAGATATTAAGAAAGACAGACCAACCTGTAAGCATGCCAGCACCACAACCAGCCAAAAAGAATGTGGCTATATCACATAGACAATATTCTTTTGATTTTTCTAAAGCAAATGCATTATTTGATGAATTGTTAACAAATAAGTTTTTAACTTTAACTCCAGGCCACAACATTCCTAAAGAAAGGGACAGAGTTGGCAAGGAATATTGCAAATGGCATAATTCTTTCAAACATTCTACTAATAATTGTGTTACATTTCATAATTGTGTGCAGGATTTAATTCAGAAAGGGATGCTGAAATATGCCGAAAAAGATAAAGGAGTAATGGCAGTTGATAGTGATCCATTTCCTAGTATGGTGGAAATCAATATGGTGGCTACTGATCAGAAAAAAAAAAGGGAAAAATCCTAGAATTCTGTTGGTGGAGTTGGAAAAACTTCACAAAGAAAGGCTAGAGAAAATGGCAAAACGAAAAAAAGTTCAAAAGGAACCAAGTGAGTTGGCAAGGAATATTGCAAATGGCATAATTCTTTCAAACATTCTACTAATAATTGTGTTACATTTCATAATTGTGTGCAGGATTTAATTCAGAAAGGGATGCTGAAATATGCCGAAAAAGATAAAGGAGTAATGGCAGTTGATAGTGATCCATTTCCTAGTATGGTGGAAATCAATATGGTGGCTACTGATCAGAAGAAAAAAGGGAAAAATCCTAGAATTCTGTTGGTGGAGTTGGAAAAACTTCACAAAGAAAGGCTAGAGAAAATGGCAAAAGGAAAAAAAAGTTCAAAAGGAACCAAGTGAGAGTTTCATCTGTTTCAGATGTGGTTCAGAGAAAGAAAAAACTAAGGCCATTGTGATTAATGGGATTCAACAAATAGGAAAAGATGTTGGTCTGAGGTTTAATTCTATGGGAAGTGGAGATTTACAAATTTTTGATAACGATTGTTTGTTCTATGATGGAACAGATCCTGGAATTTTTGGACCTGCAGAGAATTATGGTAAGGATGATGCTCCATTCTTATTCCAGGGAGCACCTATTCATCCATGCTTAGTTGGAGCTAGTAATGTGAGGACTATGCTCAATCAACATAAGGGTCCTAAGCCTTATGGAAACCCAAAGGTTCTGACTAGGCCATATAATGGCCATCAGCAGCAATTTGGTGCATCACATAGTGGCCATCAACAATTTGGGAGGCCATATGAAGGGCATCAACAATTGGCAAGACCATCTGGAGGATATCAGCAGTAGCATCATGGCCCAAGAGTGAGGCCAGAAATGCAACTAGTTCAGCCAAGAATGGTGAAACCTCCAATACCATCCCATTTGGGATGGCAATGAGTGTCACATTCAAAGTTTCCTATGAGTGGTTGGAGACCAATAGGAGAAACAAGAACTCAAAAAAGGAGAGAGCAAAGAAGGTTTCATGCTATCATGTCCACTGGTGCAAGGGACAAACTATCTGGAAGACAAGACTTAGTTTGGACAAGGGAAGGATTGGTTCCTGCTGCTAAAAGAAAAGAAGTAAAAGGTTCAACTTCTAAGACCCATCCAGTGCAACCAGTTCAGATTTTGAAAAGGAAAATGGGACTAGAAGAGACTGAAGATAGAGAAGGCTTTGTTATGGCAAAAGCTGAAGTAGTTAGAAAAAGATCTAATGTCTGAAGAAGAAGATAACAATAACAAAAGAGATATGGTAATGAAAGATGATCAAGATCAGGAGATGGTCATTGATAACAAGGATGTTAATGAAAGGATTGAAGAAGATGAAGTGAAATCAGACAGTTCTGGTGGTGACTTTGGAGAAAAGTTGGCTGCCATTCATTTTGGTTCTTTACCCCCTTCCAAGAAGTGCAATATGGTTATGGCCATCCCACAGAGGTTTCAAGCCAAACCAAACCAGCCAGATAACTTGGCAGGTGATGTTGAAGACTTGACAGAACCAGCTATTCAGATAGCAATAGTTGAAACACAGGTGTAGACGTCCCCGAACGCCCCGGGAGGGAAATCCCGTTTTGTTCATATGGGCTCACTACAGTTCAGGACTCAAATGTCACGGTCCTGTATCTAATCCCGCAGAGTGCAATGCAAGACCGATGAATCATCAAAGAGTCCAAATCCGGCAAATCGTTTTTGAAAACAGATTTTTTTTTAAAGAAGTGCCAAACATGGACTGCTTTGCCAGATACAAAGTCGCCACCTAAATATTTTATTTTTAGAGAAATTTAGGAAACCCTGACTCGTTGCCTAAGGCCACGTGTCCGTCATCACCAAAGTTGTCTCGGCTCGAGAACTTGGTTATGATTGGGGAAGGTCACTTCGTGAGCACCCCCACTCGCCCGATCAAAGATCGGCCTCTACTAACCATGATATCGAGTTTTGAAAACATTATGCATTCTTATTCTGGTTATTAGCCTAGAATTACTATGTGATGCGCACAACATACAAGTATAGACTGGGTCGCCTGAATTGGAACAAAACATCTCATGTTTGTTTTGAAAACGGTTTGCTAATCGCAAGTAGGCTAAAATGTGGATTTGCCACCCTCAAGTGGGCTTAGAAAACATGATGATTTATGTAAACTCAGTCAACACATGCTAGAATGAGGTGCTCCTTTGAGAGGCCAATAAGAGGGTTGTTCAACACATACAAGATAGACATGCAACATGGCAAAACCATCTCCGGAAATCAGTTATGAGGGTCCTAAAATTCACCAAAAAGGCCCTGAAATGGGTCAA